ACCATCACTCTCACACCTGTCTTCCAACACTCTTCTAGAAGCTTCGCGTTCGTCATCTGATCGTTCCACTGCGGAAACGCAACAACAGGAACTCCCGAGACCAAACTCTCAAGCGTCGAGTTCCATCCACAATGCGTCACGAAACAACCGATCGATCTCTGTTTCAAAACTCTAAACTGATCGCACCAAGAAACCACCATTCCTAATTCATCGAGCTCTTCTCTAAAACTCGCTATGCTTTCTACTTCTTTCTCTTCCTCATCGTCTTTACTTCGGTGCGATTTATCCGTAATCACCCACAAGAACGGTCTCCGACTCTCTATCAACGCCTTACATAGCTCCACAAGCTGTTTCTTGCTCAACACGGCAAGTGTCCCAAACGAAATATAAAGAACAGACGAATCCGATTGTGAATCCAACCACTCAACGTATTCATCACGAGTCCCCGAATCAGTCCTCAAGGTTATCAATGGACCGATAGGGACAATCTTGACGGAATCAAGAACCGAGGTTAGTCCTTCTGGTTCAAGCTCTTGGAAACTATTGATGAGAACCTTAGGGTTTTCTTCTTGCTTCAGTGACTCCATCTGATCTTTAAACGCCGGTAAAAGAAATGCGTAGTGATTCGTAGCGACGAGGAATGAAGGAAGCTCACGAAGACGAAGCAGTGGCAGAGATGGTAATTTAATAGAACCAGAAGGGTTGTTATGAGCCAACTCTGAGATAGCTTCTTCGTAGCCATTGAAGTAATGGTAGGATATGGAGAAGACAGTGATTGGTTGGACCCAAAGAAGAGCAGAAGGAAGATGAAACTCACGAGCTAACTCAGCGACCCAAGTGAGGAGGATGGTGTAAACCACACATGTAAAAGGCCGGTTTTGTTTCCGGTTATCTTCGATTAGTTCGGTTAGTGTCTCTCTCCCACGTTGTCTCATCTCCGACATGTACTTTCCGGTGTCGTCTTTGAGAGTTTTGTCTGAAGAAGAAGAAGATTTCTTGAAGCCATCGTCGTGACCGTCTGAGTAAGTAGCGAAGTTTAGGGTTTCAGGGACGTGTTCTGTAGAGAACATACGGCGGTTGTAGGCGGAGATTGAGGCGGCGAAGGTGACTCTAGCTCCGGTGATGGTTCCGGCGAGACGTTTAGCTAGCTCGAGAGATGGGTTGATGTGGCCTTGAGCTGGAAATGTAACGAACAGAAAGTGTGGACCGGTGGAAGTATTATTATTGTCATTCATATTGTTTAATTTGATGTTATAGCCAAATGAAAGTTATAAGTTAGGATTTATAGAAGATTATACTGACATATATCTAAGTGAAAAGATTTATAATTATTAACAAATAGAAAGATATGAACAACCCACTAGTATACATTGGACAACTCAATTTTGTGACGTTAGTGATGACGAAAAATCTAGAAAGATAAAAGTTTCTTTTGGATTCAGTGGATACGAGCACACGACCATTTGGCCAGTCGTATTATATTATATATTATCTTATATACAAGTGAAAGTGATATTGAACGAACAAGAACATTCAACTTACGTGAAAAATTAGGATTTTGTAATATTAATTTCCATATTCGGAACAGAAAAGATGAAGACGAAATATGTGGTTTACGTTAAGAGGTTTTTAAACGAAATGTCTTATTGACAAAGGGAACTAACTATATATGTGGTCTTGTTAACGATTGGCCAAGCAAAGATTCAAGACTTGTCTTGCAAAATTTAATGATTTGACCAAACAAGATCGGAAAAAGAGCGAAAATTCTGAAGAAATCATTATCTAATTTAGCCATCGGCTTCATGTAACACCAAACATTGAATAACAGTAGAACACAAACGAAATAAGACATGCATACAAATAGGTTTTGATTGCAACAGAGTTCGTAAGATATCTCACATATATAGTATTTTTTATTGAGTCTCTTTTGATTAGAAATCACTATGAAAGAGTCACTTAGGTCACAACTAAGAGGATGATTGGTTAGTTTTTAAAAAGTAGTTACAGTTTTAATTTATTTTTACAGTCCTAAAACTTACCAATCAAGATTTAAACTAATTTTGAAAACTACAAACTAAAAAAAAATAGGTTATAACTCTCTTGTTTTCCACAGTCCTCTTCTTGGTGATGTAAAAAAAAAAACATGGCTGTAGAA